TTGTGTTACTTCATGGATAATATAAAACTTACCATGATACACTTCCGTTCCCTGCCCCCATTCTGGACTTCAGATTATTTCTTCGTGCATTTCACTTCTGCATATACTATAAGCCCCACAGTTCATTTTTCCCTTTAAACAGTAAAGCAGTTTGTAAAGAGATTTTTAAAAATTAGAAGAAAAGGCATTTATATTTACCTACATAACAGCCATTTCTGTCTCTTGTCACTCCTTTTTGTAGGTCCAGATTCCTTCTGCTATCATTTTCCTTCTGCTTGAAGGATTCCCTTTAACATTTTGAGCTGTTCTGCTGGTGATGGCTTCCTTCCAATTTTGATGATCTGAAAAAGTCTATTTTCCCTCCATATTTAAAAGGAAATTTCACTGGGTGTGAAGTTTAGGGTGGTCAGCTTTCATTCTGACAGTAAAGCTGTTGCACCACTGTCATCTGGCTTGGATTGTTTCCAGCAAGAAGTCTGCTCTTACTCTGATCTTTTGTTCTCTGTACATAATTTGTCTTTTCATTCTACTTTTATAGGTTTTCAGCAATTTGATTATGATATGGCCTGGCGTAGTTTTCTTTACCTGCTTGGGATTCAATGAGATTCCTTGTTTTCTTCCCCCTGCTTGGGGATTCATTGAGGTTTTTGGTTCTGTAGATTTATACTTTTCATCCAATTTAGAAAAATTTTGGTCATTATTTCTTCAGTTATTTTTTTCTGTCCCCTCTCCTTTTCCCCCCCTGTGACACAAATTATACATGTGTTGATGTTGTCCCCAGGTCAGTGATCCTCTGTTTATATTTTTCTCCCGGTCATTCTCTTCTATATGTTTAATTCTGGATAGTTTTTATTGCCACGGCTGCCAGTTCACTAATCTTTCCCTTTGAAGTGTTTAATCTGCTGTTAAATCCCACCTAGTGTATTTTTTCCAACTAGTGTATTTTTTCAGTCTTGCATATTGAATTTTTTTTTGTTTGGTTAGAAAACAACTTTTATTTTTAAATATTCATTTCCATTATGGTTTATCATAGGATATTGAATATAGTTCCGTGTGCTATACATTAGGACCTTGTTGTTTATCCTTCTGAATGTAACAGTTTGCATCTACCAATCCCATGCTCCCAATCCATCCCTCTCCCTTCCCCTCACCCTCTTGGCAACCACAAGCCTCTTCTCTATGTCTATGAGGCTGTTTCTGTTTTGTAGATATGTTCATTTGTGACATATTTTAGATTCTACATATAAGTGATATCTTTTCTTTTTTTAAATTTATGTCTCAGGAAACTCAAACAGGGGCTTTGTATCAACCTAGAGGGGTGGGGTAGGGAGGGAGATGGGAGGGAGGTTCAAGAGGGAATGGATATATGTATACCTATGGCTGACTCATGGGTTTCCTTTGTAGCTCAGTCGGTAAAGAAGCTGCCTGCAGTGCAGGAGACCTGGGTTCGATCCCTGGGTTGGGAAGATCCCCTGGAGAAAGAAATGGCAACCCACTCCAGTATCCTTGCCTGGAAAATCTCATGGACAGAGGAACCTGGTGGGCTGCAGTTCATGGGGTCGCAAAATGTCAGGTACAACTGAGCAACTAACGCTTACTTATGGCTGATTCATGTTGAGGTTTGACAGAAAACAACAAAAATCTGTAAAGCAATTATTCTTCAATTAAATAAATTATAAGTGATATCTCATGGTATTTGTCTTTCTCTTTCTGACTTACTTTAGTTAGTATGATAATCTCTAATTGCATGCATGTTGCTGCAAATGGCATAATTTCATTCTTTTTGTGGCTGAGTAATATTCCTTTGCATATATGTACCACACCTTCTTTATCCATTCATCTGTTTATGGACATTTAGGTTGTTTTCATGTTTTGGCTATTGTGAGTAGTGCTGCTATGAACATGGGGGTGCATGTATGTTTTTGAATTATAGATTTGTCCAGATATATGCCCAGGAGTGAGATTGCAGGATCATATAGTAATTTTAGTTTTCTGAGGAACCTCCATAATTGTTTTTCATAATGACTGCACCAACTTACATTCCCAGCAACAGTGTAGGAGGATTCCCTTTTCTCCACACCCGCCCCAGCGCTTGTTATTGGTAGATGTTTTGATGGTGGCCATTCTGATGAGTATGAGGTGGGCCCTCATGGTGGTTTTGATCTGCATTTCTCCAGTAATTAGTGATGTTGAGCATTTTTTCATGTTTCACATTGTATTTTTAACTCTAAAAGTTCAATCTGGGCCTTTAAAAATATACTCTGTTTCTTTCATTTTCATGCTCATGATTTCCTCTACCTTCTTTTACCTATTTTATCATCCTTTTCCCTCATTCTAGCATCTGGTCATTTATGGATTCATTTGTACTGATTTATCTTCTTATGGAGCCTATTTTCCTCTGTCTTTACATTCCTGATAATTTTTGATTAGATGCCAGGCATTGTAATTTCACTTTGTGAAGTGCTAGAGTTTTTCATATTTCTTAAATGTTCTTGGCTTTGTTCTGATATGCAGTTAAGTTACTTGGGGACAATTTGATTCTTTTAAGATTTACTTTTAAGCTTTGTAGGCAGATCCAGATCAGCCTTTGAAAGTGAAGTTAAAGTCTCTCAGTTGTGCCTGACTCTTTGTGACCCGATGAACTATGCAGTCCACAGAATTCTCCAGGCCAGAATACTGGAGTGAGTAGCCTTTCTCTTCTCCAGGGGATCTTCCCAACCCAGGGACTGAACCCAGGTCTCCTGCATTGCAGGTGGATTCTTTACCAGCTGAGACACAAGGGAAGCCCAACAATAGAGTGGGTAACCTATCCCTGCTCCAGGAGATCTTCCTGACCCAGGAATCAAACCGGGATCTCCTACATTGCAGGAAGATTCTTTTAAGATCAGCCTTTAGTCTAGGACTAATTTGACCTCACTGTAAAGGCAATACTCTTGTGAGGACTCTACTTATGCCCTATTGTCATGAAGCTTTTTCCACTTGGGCTGGTGGGAAGATGAACCACTCTCATCCTTGTACAAGTCCGGGGGTTGTTCTGCCTCTGCCATTCTGGATGCTCTTTCTTCAGCCTTGCCGACTTCCTCAAACTCAGTACTTAGCTCAAGACTGGAGGAGAGCCCTCTGCAAATCACTGAAGTTCTTTATCTCTGTGCAGCTCTCCTCTCTGGTTCCACAGCATGAATTAGAGATGTCTGAGATGCTCTGACCTCTGTGCACCAACTCAGAGACATCACTGGACTCTGATTAGTTTCCCTTCTCTGGATGTGGCCTGAAAACTCTCTGGGTGGCGTTCATCATGCTCACCTCATTTGTTTGCCTTCTGTCAGAGTTCCCTGTCCTGGGATGCATTTTATCCAGTATCTGAAAAACCATAGTTTCATGTGTGTGTGTAGCTTAAAACTGGAGTGTAAATCTGTTACTCCATTTTGGCTGGAAATGGAAATGCTTAGTATGACTTCTCAGAAGTTGAGACAGACAACTGGGCAAAGTCTCCCTTTGCAGTCCCCTACCCTCTTTCCTATTATCTGGGATTAAGAGATGATGGCTGGAGCTCCAGGAGCTTTCTTAGACCAGGAGGTGACTTATAGGATGGAAGCTACCTGCTAAGGATGTAGGGAAAGAGAGATGGACGGAAGGAGCCTAGGGCCCAGTCACAGTAGCTCTGCACAACGTCTCAACTTCTGTTACTTGAGAAAATAAATTCTTGTGTGTTTAATCCTGCATTATTTAGTGCTTTCTGCTTTGTAGCCAAGCCTAATTCTAACGGATATACCCTCTCATCCCAGCCCACCCCGGTTTTCCTCTTAAATGTCCAATCAAAGAGTGCCCAGAGGACGTGGCTCCACAGTGAGGAGTCACGAGGCTGGTGTCACGCCGGGTCACCGGTCGTTCCGTCGAGCCCAGGTCTGGGCTTCCCTCCCACCCTCTGCAGCTGGCCCCAGGGTGGCCTGCGCTCCGGGCTCCGCTTCCTAACCCTGCTTGTGTTCCTCGGATCCACCCCGAGCCGCGACCCCTCACTCCTGGGCCCCACTCACCTTACAAGGTGCAGTGGTGAGGGTGGTGTGGCCGCGTGGCAGTGGGGAGGGTGGACCAGTGGTGAGCTGGCAGAGCGGTGGGGGCGGCGTGTGGCAGAGCTGGGAGAGTTTGGTGATTTGGTGGCACAGGCAGATGGCGGAGGTACTGCAGGCGATGCACGGTGTGGTGCACGGACGTGGCTTCGGTGCAGACAGGCTGACCTCATTCCTGCCTCGGCCTCCTGCTGACTGGGGTCCACTTGCAAGGGTGACCGGTGCTGGCTGGAGTTGTCTGCCCACACCCTTCCCCTCACTTCCTTCCCACCGTTTCTTCTTAACCAAGGGAACCTTGATTTGCTCTGGTCACCTGGCTTCCTGCATGTGACTTCCAAGCCAATCACAGCAGCGCCATTGCCCTCATCAGCAGCGGTCCGGGAAGCCCCCTGGGGCAGGCCGAGGAGACCAGGGTAGAGTGTGTGAGGCTCTGTGGGGACCCGTCTAAGAGGCACATAGCAATGATGGCCCGTCTTTTCCCTGAAGATGTGCTGTGTTTGCGAGGGACAGGGGGGCCTAAGGACCATCTCGCCAGGCCGGCATGCCAGAGAGGAGAGAACAGATGCGTGGAGGAGTCTGGGTCCTGGGATGCTGCCAAGGTGATGCTTCCGTGGGTGACTGTCTTTCTGGGGTTGAGGCAGTCATATTCTGCAGGTCAGAGTCCCTGGCTGAGAATCGGGGGTTAGACTCACCACTTGCCATGTGGTCACGAAGAGCCAGGGGCCCATGGTGGGAGACCACCCCCCCAAGCCAGCTTGGGCGCGGTGTGTACCTCCGAAGTGCTTTTGTCTCTGGCAAGAAGCGTCTGAGTCCTAGCTTGTCCCCACCCCACCTGGGGGCTCGCAGAGGACTTCAGCATTATCTGTTGTGTTTCCATATTCTGTGTTAAAAGAGAGAAAGAGTTGAACAATTGGCACAAAATGCCGGTGATTGTCACTTCTGTGCGGAGGGTGCACAGCTGTGCGCTCTTTGTTCTGTGTACTTTTCCGAAAGGAAATCGGAGGCAGCGAGAACGGCCCTTCCTGCCTCCCTGGAGCCGGTCGGCAGGAGCACGGTCGGGGCGCGGAGTGGCCGCGGCTCTGCTCGCGCCGGGGGCGCTGCCAGCTCACGCTCCTCTCTGCAGCGCGCCGTGCTCGGAGCCCAGGAGCAGATGGCCGCTCTGCGGGCCGCCGGGCCGCCCTCCAACCCGCCCCTGGTCCCGGCCACCGTGCCTGGGGCCACGCCGCCTTCCCGCAGCTCCCGGGCAAGGCCCCGGCAAGGCCTGCTGAGGACTGAGAACTGGGGAGGTCTTGGGGGGGGGCGGGGAGACGGGGTCCAGGCAGGGGAGGTTGGCTGTCTCCTCTTCTCCCCCACCAGCAGCTTTCAGATGACAGCTCTGTGTACGTGTGTCTGGGGCAGGAGACACAATAAAAAAAGAAAAAAAAACCCATGAACTGGGCGTCCCGCTTCACTGCCTGGGGTTCAAAGGATGCCCTCAGTGGCCTCCCGAAGAGTGGCTCTCAGATCCAGACACGTGCATGCTGGCAGGAAGCCCCAGCAGGTCTGCTGGCTCCAGTCAGCCTTCTGGCCCCTCGGGCTCTTCTGCATGTCTTGCTGCCCTGACCAGGTGCCCGCTGGGGTCCTCATCACTCCTGCGTGCCCAGGTCTGTGGGGTTTAGCAGAGCATGACTTTGAAGAGGGGCTGGGTTGATGGCAGTGGGGCGGGGGATGGGACAAATAGCAGGAGCGGGAACAGCTTTGGGGAGGACCAGGCTATTCGAGATGGGCTCTGGGGGGCTCAGAGCTGGGTTCAGACCTCCATCCGGCTCAGAGTGTCTGGGTGACCTTGGGTCAGTCCCAGTGCCACTCAGCCTTGAATTTATTACCCCTTTGTCAAATGGGTCTAATATTGAGAACTCAGGGTTAGAGGTCTGTAAAATGTCCACCCTGATTCCTGTCTCGCTCAGTCCCTGCCATCCCCTTCCGTCTTCCCTGGGGGGCATTGGCCATCCGGTTCTAAGCACCAAGCCTTGAACAGGCCCTGCCCTCTGACCGGGCACATTTACCTGGTCTCTGTTTGGCCATGTCCGGGGCCTCCTGGACACCAGGCCATTCATACACCAAGCGAGGCTCCGGACACTTTGGGAACAGGCGTGTGACTTCCCGTGCGGGCTGGCTCCCATGCGGGTTCAATGCTGAGCCTTTGGTGGCTATTTTGCCGTGACTGCTACAAAAAGAAAAACTCCACGGTTCTCACACCCGTCTTTCTCGCCACATCTCTGGAGGCACGAACGTGTTAACCGGGTAAAGCAAAGTCGGAGATTTCCAACCGCCAGCAAGCCGCAGGACGCCCAGCCTGCGTCTTCCTCCCACATGCCTCCCTCCTCCCCTCCACCCTCTGCTTCCCAGCTGGGAGTGGGGCCTGAGGTCTGCGAGGCTTTGCAAAGTGAGAAAAGTGACGCTCGTGGGCTGTCGCCGGAGGCTTTCTCCTCTCCTGAGATGATGGAGAGGGAAGGCAGGAGCCCCTGCCTGCCCTCTGTGGGCTGCAGCTGCCAAGCGGCGTGCCAGCTGCGTGGGACTGTGAGTGTGGGTGACGCCCATCTTCCTCGTCACCCTTCCTTTATCTCTGGGGCTATAGTTATACCCAGAGGCTCCTGGCTGGCCACCGAGCCAGTCATTCATGGTGCCTCTATGATGTCCTCAAAGCTTCAGAGTAGCTGAACTGAGTGAGTTTGCTGCAGGAATGAGCAGAAGCTGAACTGAGTTTTCCACTGGTCCAGCCTGGAAAGGTCTTGCTTTCTGTGTCTTTTCAGTAAACCCCATATTTTATGGCCCTGCCCCTGGGCCCCAGCAACCAAGAGGGATGCTCTATCTTTTATAGGACTCTTTACATTGCAAAAGACAAAAGAAAAGAAAAGAAACTCCTTGTGGCTTTAACATAAAGGGAATTTATTGGCTCATGTAACTGAAAAGTTGAAAAACTTCAGGTAAGGCTTGATCCAGCAGCTCAAAAGTCTATCACCCTAACTCAACTGCATTCTGTCTCTCTATTTGTTTTCATCCTTGGGCTCCAAATGGTACCCTTTGCGGCCCCAGCCGCTCACCTTTTGGTAGCAAAATGTCTACCCCACATGCTTAAACTTCCCGACCACACTATCCTTGGGCAGAGACAGTCCTGAATTCTTTTTTCTCTTATTGGCTAGAATTAGGTCTCATGCCCATCCCTGAGTCAGATGGCACCATTGGTAAAGGACCTGCCTGCCAATGCAGGAGACATAAGAGAAGCGGGTACAATCCCTGGGTTGGGAAGATCCGATGGAGGAGGAAATGGCAACCCACTTCAGTATTCTTGCCTGGAGAATCCCATGGACAGAGGAGCCTGGCGGGCCCCAGTCGGACATGACTGAAGACACTTAGCAGGCGTGCACCGTGTCTGACCAGTGATGCCAGCCAGGTGATTGCCTTAATACAACCCTACTTGCTTATTAGCATGATGCTGGGGTCAGTTGTGGAAAATAGAGGCTCAGTTGGCCAGAGACAAGGGTGGCCAAGGGGACACAGTGACAACGCGTTGCCATGTCTGGAGCATCTGCGATGCACAGGATCAGTCTACGGTGCTCACACGTATCGTCTCATTTAATCCTCACGACAGCCCTGCAGGGTGTGTGTGGTGGGGTGTTACAGCGAGGAAGCCAAGGCTCAGAAGGAAAGGCACACAGCCCCAGCCACACAAGCCAAAGGCATGGCATTGGGTGGAGGGGAACCTAGGCCTGGCTCTCTGTTTACAGCAGGGCCCTGGGCATGTCTGGAGCCAGAACCATCATCAGTTAAATCCTTACTGCTTCCCTAGCTATGCCCTCCCCCTACCCAGGCTGGGGGTGGTCCTGAGCTTGTGGGCAGCGCCTGTCAAGCACCTGAGTTACCCCACAGAGGGCCTCTGACCTCGGGGCACAGGGCGGCTGTGAGGTGCTGGAGGTAAATCCCCGGATCTAGGGGGCAGGAGTGGTGGATAAGCACCCAGCCTCCTCTTCCTGCGGTGGGCCGCGCCCGAGGGTGTCCCCTACCCTCTCTCCGAGGGTCCCCCACAAGTTGAGCCAGTGGCACTGGATCATTAGTCATTGTTCAGTGGCTCAGCGGTAAAGAATCGGCCCGCTGATGCAGGAGACATGGGTTCGATCCCTGGATCGAGAAGATCACCTGGAGAAGGAAATGGCAACTGACTCCAGTGTTCTTGTCTGGGAAATCCCGTGGGCAGAGGAGCCTGGCAGGCTACAGCCCATGGAGTCACAAAAGGGTCGGACAAGACTGAGCGACTAAACAATAACAACGGATCATTAACACGGCCTTTATAAACCTGCCCACCCTGCTCCCTTCCCCACGTGCTTCCTGGAATCGCCCGGATAAAACCACAAGCACCCAAATCCTTGTCTCAGGATTGACTCTGGGGGCCCAGACTGAGGTGGCAGCAGCTGGGACCTGAGCCCTCCCAGAGCTCCAGAGCCACGGGCTGCCAGTCTCACTGGGCAGTGGAGTCTATTCAACCCCGGAAGACAGCTCCCTTCCCTGGGCTCAGGGCCTGAGGATGGGGCCTGCGACTGGAGAGGACGCAGTCCAGCGCCCCAGGTGCCGCTGAGGACGCAGGCCTGCGCATCACACATAGTCTGGCGAAAGGGAGCTCTGTGGACGCTCTCCTGCCCTCCCCACCTGATGCCTAAATTCTCTGTACAGCTTCCCTGCCCTGGGCATTCCACTCTGTTTGCATACCCTGAGGGACGGGGCGCTCACAACCACTCCAGCCATCACCTCCATCTATCCACGGCCCTGACTGCTAGTAACTTCCTTGCACAAATACCATGTGTTGGATAAATGACCAACAAAAAATTATCTTAATATCTAATCTCCAAGTGCCTCCTTTTGGAGGCAAAGAGCCAGAGACAACGATAAAGCTGGGAACAAAGATGTTAGGGGGCATTTTCGCAATTGAGTTCAGAGATAGCCCGCCGACTGAATCCAGCCTACTGCCTGTTTTTATATATCCTGCAAGCTAAGAACGGTCTTTATGTGTTTAAATGGTTGGGAAAAAAAATAAAAAAGAAGATTTCATGACATCTGAAATTATATGAAATTCAAAATCCAGTGTCCATAAATAGAGTCCTCCTGGAGCATAGCCAAATGAATTCATTTACATCTTGTCTGTAGCAGCTTCCATGCCACTGCGGCACGAGTGTTTGCAACAGACATGGCTTGGCCCACAGAGCCTAAAATATTTACTATCTTGCACGTTACAGAAGCACCGTGCCGGCCCCTCAACTAGTCCAATGCCCCTGAGCAATGTCACCCCATCTTCCAGTTGAGGAAACTGAAGCCCAACAGAGTCAGGGAACTCCGAGTCCACATGTGGCAAGATGTGAGAGACTTGGCATCCAGGACAGGCAAAATGACCCCAAAGCCCTGGGACCTGTGCGGGCCGGGTCCTCCCTGCTGTCCTCGTGGGCCCACTGGCCTGGGCCTGCCTGTCCCGGCCCACCCAGCACTCCCTGAGCCAGGCCCAGAGGCGGCCACGGCCAGAGGGACATTGAGGTGACAGCCGTGAGCTTGGAAGAATCAAAGCTGCTTCCCTGGGCAGCTGGCGAAGGCTCTGAAAGTGGGTCAGGCCTCGGGAGGGGTAAGTCCATTTTTAGCTCTTCATTAGGGCCTCATTCATTAATTCCTGCATTTGATATTTACTGAGCAGCTATTGAGTGCCAGCCCCTGGCGTTGGTGGGGGTCGGAGTCGGGGCCACCTCTGGGTCCTCAAGGCCTCGGCAGATGCCGAGGGACAATCACAGAAGCCAGCAAGAAGTGGTGTGTGATCTAGGCAGCCAGCAGCCCCCTTTCTGCGCCGCCTTTCTGATGAAGGCAGAAGGGTCACAGTCGACCTGGCGGCCTCCGGCTTTGAGCTGGACTGAAGGAGGATGTTGCTGGCTGTGCTGGCTGTTGTGTGAGGAGGGCCCGCTGGGCAGAAGGGGCAGTGCGTGGCAGTGCGGAGGTGCGATGCGTGTGTGGGGGTGGGGCTGCCCTGGGAGAGGGTGGGGGAGACACGACCTGTGCACTGTCGGGAGGGGCCCAGTTGACAGCTGTGGGTGGGCCTGGGGCCTCGTCAGGCCGGCAGCTGAGAAAGAGCATCCTGGAGCCACCACGTGGAGGGGGCGCTGGAGCTGAGCGTGGGCAGAGTCAGGACCCTGCCAGCAGGGATGAGGCGGACACCTGAGTCAGCCGCCTGACCTCAGCCACCAGACAAGGGCCCCCGGGTGCCCACCTTCCTGCAGAGCTGGGCTCCGACTCCAAGCCCTGTGGCCTCGGGAAGACTCCCTCCTGCTTCACTTTTCGGGCCCCTCCCCCCACACCGTGTACATGCCTCCCAAGACCCCACCCCTGTGCCCCGCGGGCTCATGGCCACTCTGCCTGATCCCAGACAAAACACAGACGTGTCCCTGGTGGAGGCTGGCTGGCCTGACCCCACTGGTACCTCCTCCTCCGCAGGGCTGATGGAGGGCCCGGGGCCAGGCCCACCTTGGGGCGGGACTGCCTGCAGGTTCCTTGGAAAGCAGCCACCGCACCTCTGCTTGTGAGGCCATGCTCACAAGTTGCCTTTGATCCTGCCGAGAACCTGGGGGGGGGTTGTCCCCCTACTGCCGCCCGCATCTGAGGAGAGGGCTCACTGTTGCTCTGATGCTTTCTTCATCTGATCATAACTCTCGTTCGACTTCTGTGTCCCCAGGAGGCTAGATCCTTGAGCCCCGAAGCTGGGAGTGGGGTCACCAGACAGCCAGGGCCACCTGGCCAGGGTGACCGGCATCTCGGGGTTAACCGATGGATGGGGGTGGAAGATGGGCCTCCTGGAGCTCGGCCAGGGCCTGGATGGGCCCCGCTGGTCTCCAGCTCTGGGCAGGGCCCAGGGAACACATGTCTGGATGGAGGTGGGCAGAGGAGGTTGGGGGTCGTCAGTGACTGCTAGGAATGGGCGCCTCTGGCCAAGGCCCCAGGAGCCCCTCCTTCTGCTCCTGGTCCCAGGAGGACTTCCCGAGTCCCCGGGCAGCGCGTGGGCCCCTGCGTGGCCATGAGCCCTGGCTCCGGGCACCATCAGGCCTGTGCGTGGGCCCCGGCAGGCCCACCACTCCTCCTGGAGCCGAACTCCCCATCCCGCCTTCTGGGTGATGCTCAGGTATTTTTCTGGCAGGGGATGACCAGGGCTCCAGCTGCAAAAATTAGGGCTGAGTTTGAGGCTCTGGTGGGGAGAAGAGGAGGTCTGAGTCTGTGGGTGGAGGGGACCCCAAGGAGGAGGCAGCCGGAGCTCCCGGAGGGGAGGCCCTCTCCTCTGGGCTGATGGTCAGGCGGCCTGGCGTGGGAGGGGCCACATGGAGCTGGGGGCCATTCCCAGGCTGTGCCCACCCCCCTCCCCAGCCCACTCACCACTGTCACCATCATCACACTGGCCGGCTGGTCCATGGCAGGTGCTGACCCCAGGAGGGGACCCCGAGCGGTTGTCTCGAGGAGAAGATGTCTCTAGAAGTGTCTCTTGGGGGGAGGCCTCCATGAGCCCCTTCATCTCTTCCGGGGTCTCAGCACCCAAACCAAGCCTCCTCCCGGGCTCCGCCCCTCCCCCTGGCTCTCCGTGGTGAGTCTGAGGATGAGTGAGGTCAGCAGGTCACGGTCCAGACTGAGACACTTGTGGCTGACACGCTGGAGAGACAGGGGGACCCAAGGCAGGCTGTGTCCACCCCCCACCCCAGGCCTTCATCCAGTCCGGGGAAGGGGTGCCCCTTCCCAGGCCCAGCTCTGCTTTGCACATTTCTTCATTCAGTAAAGGTTCTGTGTATGCCTACTATGTGCCAGGCTCTGCCGTGGGGGTGGGGACATCCCTGGGAAGAAGCGCCCCTGCCCACGTATGTTAGCAGGGACGGCAGATACAAGTCAATAAGCAAATCAATCATGTTAGGGGGAGGTGGGTGGGCCTGCGTGTGGTTGGTCACTCCTGCCCCACTTCTGGACAAGGAGACAGCAGTCAGGGGAGGCACCTCTACGACATCAAATGTACCATCTAAACCATCTACAGGTGTTCAGTTCAGTGGGATTAAATACATTCACAGGGTCGTCAACCATCCCCATCATCCTTCCCCACAAGCAAGCGAGCAAGCGGGGAGGGAGCAGGAAGACTGTGAGGCTAGTTTGGGGAAGAAGAATCTGTTGATCTTGGTAGCAGGGAGCGCACCCAGGCTGCCCAGGGCAGCCCCAGGCCAGCTTGGGGTCTGGCTCCTGGCCTTGCAGAAGCCTGGGTCCTGATATGGGGCTGAGACAGGGTAGGTTTGGGGCAGGACAGGGTCTCTTTTCAGTGTAGGGGAGGTGGAGGGTGAGAAGCCCCCTGCCAGCATCCTCGCGTCATAACCATGACGACCAGGAGCTAAGACACCGTATCCACAGGAGGGGCTGCTCTAGGGCGTTCTCGCCCGGGAAGAGAAGGCCCAGCCAGTGAATAACTTCCTCCTGTGTTTCCACACTGCCTCTGCCGCTGTCTGCTGTTTATAAGCAAGTCAGGGTCCAGCCCACGCTCGGAGGCGTGAACACCAGGAGGTGCGATCGTCAGGATCAGTGGAGAGTCTGTCAACCACAGGATGATGTGTGAACATGAAGTCATCCACACGGAGGGGCGCTCAAACCACCCCCTTCATGAGACAGCGGGTGCCCGTATGGACCCACGTTTCCTTCTCAAGCCAGTGGATCCCTCAACTCGCTTATAGACCTACCGTTTACTCACAGAGACCCACTCTCAGATCCTCCCCGCACTGGGTCCACCATCCTGAACTGTCCCAGCACAACGTTGGCGATGGTTCCTCCAAAGATTAAACATAGAATTACCAGATTCAGTGATTACATTTCTGGGTATATATGCAAAAGAACTGAAAGCAGGAAATCAAAGAGTTGTTTGTACATGCGTGTTCACAGCAGCGTTACTCACAACAGCTGAGAAGTGGAAGCATCCCAAGTGTCCACTGATGGGTGTGGATAAACAAGATGTGGTACCTACACATGATGAGATATTATGCAGTCTCTAAAAAGGAAGGAATACTTGACACAGGCTACAACATGGATGGTGTTGGCTCCGCCTCCTGTACAACGTTACGAACCTCGGTCCATAACTCTTCAGGCACTTTGCCTACCAGATCTAATCACTTGAAGCTATTTGTCACCTCCATTGTATAATAACAAAACAAAACAAAAAGTTGCTCCATGTGTCTGACTCTTTGTGACCCCATGACTATACAGTCCATGGAATTCTCCAGGCCAGAGTACTAAAGTAGGTAGGCTTTCCCTTCTCCAGGGGATCTTCCCAATTTAGGGATCAAACCCAGGTTTCCTGCATTACGGGCATATTCTTTACCAGCTGAGGCACCAGGGAAGCCCACCAGGGATTTGATTTACGTCATACCTGAACGGCTTAGTGGTATTCCTTACTTTCTTCAATTTAAGTCTGAATTTTGTAATAAGGAGTTCATGATCTGAGCCACGGTCAGCTCCAGGTCTTGTTTTTGCTGAATCTATAGAGTTTCTCCATCTTTGGCTGCAAAGAATATAATCAATCTGATTTTGGTATTGACCACCTGGTGATGTCCATGTGTAGAGTCATCTCTTGTGTTGTTGGAAGAGGGTGCTTGTGATGACCATTGTGTTCTCTTGGCAAAACTCTGTTAGCCTGTGTCCTGCTTCATTTTGTACTCCAAGGCCAAACTTGCTTGTGACTTCAGGTATTTCCTGACTTCCTACTTTTGCATTCCATGGTCTGTGTAGTCAAAGCTACATGTTTTCTAGTAGTCATGTATGGATGTGAGAGTTGGACCATAAAGAAGGTTGAGCACCAAAGAGCTGATGCTTTGGAATTGTGGTGCTGGAGAAGACTCTTGAGAGTCCCTTGGACTGCAAGGAGATCAAACCAGTCCATCCTAAAGGAAATCAGCCATGAATATTCATTGGAAGGACTGATGCTGAAGTTGAAGCTCCAATCTTTGACTACCTTATACAAAGAGCCAACTCATTGGAAAAGACCCTGATGTTGGGAAAGATTGAAGGTGGAGGAGAAGGGGACAACAGAGGATGAGATGGTTGGATGGTATCATCGACTCAATGGACATGAGTTTGAGCAAACTCTGGGAGATGGTGAAGGACAGGGAAGCCTGGCATGCTGCAGACCACGGGGTCCCAAAGAGTTGGACACAACCTAGCGACTGAACAACAGCCACATGGATGAAATCCTGAAGATACTGTTTTGAGTGAAATAAGGTAGTGCAAAAGGACAGATACTGTATGACTCCACTTATGTGATGCACTCAGAGGAGTCAGATTCGCAGGGATAGAAGTAGGATGGTGACTGTGAGGGGCTGAGGGAGGGAGATGCGGTTAGCGTTTAATGGGGACAGAGTTTCAGTTGGGGAAGGTGAAAAGAGTTCTGGGGGCAGATGGTGGGGGTGGCTATACAACCAAGTCAATGGACATCAGCCCACTGAACCAAACACTTGAAAAATGGTTAAGATGGACTTCCTGGTAGTGGATAGGAATCTGCCTGCCAATGCTGGGGACATGTGTTTGATCCCTGGTCCAGGAAGATCCCACATGCCGTGGAGCAACAAAGCCTGTGGATCACAATTACTGAGCCTGAGCTCTAGAGCCCATCAGCCACAATTGCCGGATCCACATGCTGCAACGACTGAAGCCAGTGTGACTAAAGCCTGTGCCCCGCAGCGGGAGAAGCACCGCAATGGAAGGCAACTAGGGAGGAGCCCCCCACACTGCAACTAAGGAAACCCTGAGCATAAAATAAAAACATAAAAATGAAAGAGTAAAATTAAAAAAAAAAAGGTTAAGATGGTAAACTCCATGTTATGTATAGTTTTATCGTTTAAATCCTGAGGGAAAACAAAACTAAACAGCCTTTGCCAACACCTATGTCAAAAGGCTTGCGTGGTGGCTTAGAATACAGGAGATCTGGGTTCAATCTCTAGGTCAGGAAGATCTCCTGGAGAAGGGAGTGGCACCCCACTCCAGTATTCTTGCCTGGAGAATCCCCTGGACAGAGGAACCTGGCGGGTTATAGTCCACAGGGTTGCAAAGAGCGGGACATGACTGAGCATCTAACACTTTCACTAAAACCTTTAAGCCCAGACCCCGGACCCCTAGGGATATTCATTCCTCAACTCCCTGTTCTGAGACCTAACAAAGACGGTCCAGGTAGCTGGTAACCAATAACTAGGAAACTTGGCTTTGCTTCAGAACAAGTTGATCCGGGGTCTTTCAGGGAATTGGCAATGCCTGTATTATATTATATTATATATAAGATCATATATAGGGAAAGAATCTGCCCGCAGTGCAGGAGACCTGGGTTCGATCCCTGGGTTGGGAAGACTGCCTGGTGGAGGGCATGGCAGCCCACTCCAGTATTCTTGCCTGGAGAATCACGTGGACAGAGGAGCCTGGCAGGCTACAGTCCACAGGGTCTCAAAGAGCTGGACACAACTGAGCGACTAAGCACAGCCTATATGTATATACATATATAGGTAATACATAGAACAAATTCCCAGAATGTTGGGGTGAGAAAAGTGAAAGTGCCTAGGTGGGGGTGCATTGCTGCGCTGGTGCAGCTGGAGGAAGCCCGGCCTTTGTTCTGTCTCCTGGAATGACTTCAGAGAGGCCTCCTGAAAACACTTGTCTTGAACATATGTCTGGGGGATGGATGGGAGAAGAAACCGTCCACGGGTTCTCGTTGCCCATTGGTTGGAGCAACTGGGAAGATCTCTAAGCTCTAGGAAAACTGGAGAAGGGACGTCTGATTGCCCCTGGTGTGTGTGGGAGGGAGCTGGGGAGGAGGTGGCCGGGCGGGGCGGGAAGCTGCCGCTTTGCAGGGAAACTGCCTGGCTGGTCCCGGCAGGTCTTCCTTGGGAGGGGTGCTCCCTAAAGTCACACCCCTTTATAAGTGAGGGCGGGGCCTTAAAGATTTGGGTCCCTGGGGTAGAATCAGATTTAGTCGTGTTTGAGCTGAAACGGCCCCCCCCCCCCCCCTTTTAGGGAAGGTGGGCTTTTAGAAAGCCTAATTTGTTTGGGAACTCTTCCTAAAATAACACCTTTCAGAAGACAGACAAGAGCCCAGTTGTGCAAACAGAGGAGTTTAGCCTGAGTGCCCGCCTGGGCCCCACCAGCTCGGCACGTGCTGGACGCAGCGGCCAGGCTCCGGAGGAGGGGGGCGGGCAGTGACATGAATGAGGCCTTCATTCAGGAGGCGGAGCGACCCGGGGCTTCTCTGAAGGATGCGCGGACACAGAAACGGGCTCCAGGGCGCGCATGGGGCGCGGATGGGCCGTGTGGATCCTGCCTATCATCCTTTTTAAGGGGCTGTTTCTGGTTTAACGACTCTTGCCTCTTGCGGTGCTTCCAAGACAGGAGGCCACCTCCTGCCCGCCCTGCACCCTGGGTTCTGGGAGGGGGAGCGAGCTGCCACGCGGAGAGGCCTCATCACGACAGAGTGTGGCTGCCTGCCCGGGGCTCTCAGGGGCACCGCTGGCTCGAAGCTGTCGATTCAGGGGGCTGTCTCCGCCCTGGGGCAAGGGTGAAAAAAAAACGGGGAAGCCGTGTCTCTGC